ATATAAGTAGAGAGTTGAATTCTGGCTTCGGCAACTTCGGAGAGGTCGAGGGAACAAATTTTATACCACCAAGTTTTGAAGTGATCATTGCAGTCTGTTATTCCATCCCATTTCACTGGTGACATATCCCAAACTCTACAAGCTCTTGGACAAGTGAGAAGTATATGTTCTATGGTTTCTGCTGTCTCACCACAAAGAGAGCAAATGAAATCAATAGGCACTTTTCTTTTGATCAACATGGTGGCTACAGGTAAGGTACCTGTAATGCATTTCCAAAGAAAGTGTTTCAGTTTTCCAGGCACTTTGATTTTCCAGAGCCTGAACTTCACTGACTTTGTAATGTTTGAGCTGGTGCTACATTCAGGAATGTCTAAGGTGGCCAGCTTGATGTTCGAGAGCTTCTCATAGGTACAGGAGACTGAGAATTGGCCTTTCTTATCAAGTCCCCAATAAGGTCTGTCTTCTCTATCTGGGTGAAGTGAGGAGATGTTAAGAATAGCTTCACCTTCCACCTGATTAAACACCTGCTTTACCAACCACTCATTCCAGGTTGATCCATTAGGATTCATAAGATCCCTTACCCATATAAGATGATTTTTGGCAATGGGTAGAAGAGTAGGAGAAGGGTTTTGAAGCTCTGGTATCCAGTTTAGATCAGTTATCTTGGTAGTGAGTCCATTCCTAATCTCAATTCTCAGCCATTGTGCAAAAAAAGGCAGTACATCCATCCAAGAGTTCCACAACCAAGACCCTTTTTGAGATTTTCCTGCTTGAGTGATGGCTGTCTGAGGGAAGTATCTATCTTTCAGTAGCCTGCTCACAAGTAGGTTGGGATTGGAAGCAATTCTCCAGAGTTGTTTGCATATCAAGGCTTGGTTGAATACCTGTAAATCCAGAAACCCCACTCCTCCATTCAGTTTAGGCAGAGACATGACATTCCATTTTTTCCAATGAATTCCCTTGGAGTGTTGATCATTGGTTTTCCACCAGAAGTTAGCACATAGTTGTGAAATTTCAGAGCAGATTGTCAAGGGCAATTTGAAACATGACATTGTGAAGATTGGTAGTGCTTGAATCACTGATTTAAGTAATACTTCTTTTCCAGCAGGGCTAAGTAGTTTGGATTTCCAACTTTGCAATTTGCCTCTGATAGAAGTAAGAAGATACTCAAATACCTCTCTTTTGGATTTGCCAATTCCCAATGGAAGTCCCAAATATCTGGTGGACCTGTGTGATGTGATTCCATTTAGAGCAGAACAAATTGTGTGTTGCAGTGTTTGAGGAGTATTTCTGCTGAAGAAGATGGCAGATTTGTTCAGATTGACAGCTTGTCCTGTGAAGAGCCTGTATTTTTCCAGAAGGTTCATAAGCACTGAAGCTTGATCAGCCCCAGCTTTACAAAAGAAAAGTGAGTCGTCTGCAAACAGAAGATGGGTGAGCAGAGGTCCATTTCTGGATAAACGAAGACCCTTGAGCTGTCCATTTTCAACTGAATGGAGAATAAGTGCCGTGAGAAGTTCTGCTACTATTATGAATAAGTAAGGGGACAACGGGTCTCCTTGTCTTATGCCTCGAGAGGGAGAAATATAACCACTCACAGCTCCATTGATTTTAAAGGACAAAGAAGCAGTCGAGATGCAAATCATTATCCATTTGACAAACTCTCTGTGGAATCCCATCTGTAACATTATATCATGAACACATCTCCATTCTACCCTATCAAAGGCCTTTATCAAGTCTAATTTCAGGGCCATAAAGTAGTTAGAACCAGATGAATGTCTATTAAGATAATGAAATGCCTCCTGAGCAATAATGACATTGTCCATCAACTGCCTTCCTTCCACAAAAGCAGCTTGATAATCACTTATGCAAGAATTTAGACATGCTTTCAATCTGTTAGCTAACACTTTTGAAATGATTTTGTAGACCACAGTACACAGGCTTATTGGTCTGAATTGACTCAGAGTATCAGGGTTGAGGCACTTTGGAATCAGTGATATGATCGTGTGGTTCCAATATTTCAGTAGCATACCTGATTGAAAGAAGGTGAGGATAGCAGCAAACAAATCCTTCTTGACCAGAGTCCAGAAGTGCTGGTAGAAAGTTGAAGTCATTCCTTCCTCACCAGGTGCTTTATCTGCTGGAAGACTGAATAAGGCCTTCTTGACTTCTTCTTCTGAGACTGATTTTAGCAAAGCTTCATTCATATCTGGAGTGATTGATTGAGGGATCAAATGGAGAATTGATTCTCCACCCCAACTGCCTTCTGTTGTGAAAAGGTTGCTGTAGAAGTCTGCTATGTGTTGTTCAATGGATCTTTGAGATGTTAGCAATCTGCCCTGAGATGATAGAAGCCTTGTGATTGCATTTTGCCTTCTGCGTTGAAGGGTAAAGGCATGAAAAAATCTCGTGTTTGCATCTCCCTCTTTAAGCCACCTTTGTCTGGATTTCTGTTGCCAATAGAGTTCTTCCTGGAGATGAGCTTTATTTAGATCCCTTCTTGTGGCTGCCCAGCTGTCCCAATGGCTCTCTGATTTATCATTATTCAATTGCTCCATTTTGATGGTGAGTTCTGCAATGAGCTTTTGATTCTCCAACTGAAATGTGGAGCTCCATTTGAGCAAAGCAAGTCTTGTGTGCTTGATTTTCTCTTTCAATTTGAAAAAAGGTGTGCCTGTGACTGGAGTGAGCCAAGCTGTTTTGACAGTATCTTCAAAGCCTTCTTTGCCTATCCACCTTTTATCAAAATGGAATCTGGTTTGTCTTCTTTCCTTGGGAAGTCCCATATCCAGCACAAGAGCAGTATGATCTGAAGCACTTCTCACAATATTAAGCACTGAAGCATTTGGGAAGTTTTGATGCCAGTCTATCGAGCCAAAAGCTCTGTCAAGTTGTTCTTCCACCAACTCAGAGGCATTCCTATTGTTGCACCAAGTGTATGGATAGCCCTGAAGCCTGATCTCCTCCATTTCCATCTGGTTAATAAAAGAGTTGAATGCTTGAAGACTGCCAGGACTTCTTGGTATACCTCCTGATTTGTCTGAATTTGTGCAAATGTCATTCCAGTGACCTATCATAAACCAGTAATTGCCCCACAAGATTTTTTCATGTAAAAGAGTGTTCCACTGATCAATTCTAATACTTCTGCAAGGATTTAAGTAAACAAAAATGCCCCACTGGGGACTTTGAGAAGGGATAGAAAAGTGAACTGCTATGAAAAAGTCTTTACATAATACTTGATGAATTACAACATTTGAATCCCAAAAAAGAGCTAAACCCCCACTGAGACCAATGGGGTCAACAATAGCTAGCCTATCAGCATAACCTAATTTATTACTAATAGATTTTACAAAGGATTTTTGCTTTTTGGTCTCAGATAGAAAAAAGAAATGTGGATGGTGAGCTTTGATGAGCTCTCGCATTTGGGAAATTGTAGAGGGCCCACCCAGCCCTCTACAATTCCACACCACAGCTAGCATTGATCATGTGGGTGCCATTCCAGGCTGGCAACCCCCACCTGTGCCTTGAGTGATTTGCTTTTCTTTGATCCTGTTTGGGTGTGATTAGGAATATGAAGGCTTTCTTCTTCTGACTCCCTTGGCCTTTTATCCCTTGATTTTTGATCAAGCCCAGCAGAAGTGTTTGAGTCCCTTAGTAGCCTGCCACTTGCACTTCTATCCCTCCTCCAAGTTTTTAATGGCCTTGCTACCTCAGTAATCAGTTCATCATGAACAGTGAGGGTTTGAGATTGAGCTTGAGCCTGGTGTTCCACCTCCATGTCTTTCCTTGATTCAACAATTTGAAGTGCAGGTTCTGTCAGATGTTCTTGGTTAATGGGATTTGGTGTGACTGAGGTCCATGAGTCTTGAGCTGGTTCAGGAGATTGTGAAGGTGATTTTTCTGGCAAGTGTATGAGCTGCTGGCTAGTGTCTGCTTGATGAGAGGGAGTGTTAGGGGGGGATCGTTGCTCATTGTTTGAAGGTGAAGCTGTGTAAGGGGACCCTCTGGATGTTGAGGTGTTGTGGTCAGACCATTTCCGGCCATCATTGACTTTCATGAAGTCTCCGTACTGTCCTTCCTTCAGAGTTTTGTTGTTGATGTCAGAAATTCTCTTAGTGCAGCTTCTGTCTAAGTGACCAATTTTACCACAATAATGGCAAAGGTTTAGCAGCTTCTCATATTTGAATCCCACTTTTATTGCTTGATCTCCCAGTCTAATATTGGCTACCCTTGGTAGAGGTTCATTTAGGTTCAGAGTAACTAGCAGCCTTAGGAACTTCCCTCCATGATTTCCAGCATTAGCTAACACTACATTTTTGACATTCTGGAAAACTTTCCCTATTTTGAGGCCTACTTCCGTGCTCAACCAATCCAGAGGAACATTTGTAACTTGAACCCAAATATTAAGTTCCTGAAAGCACGAATGCTTACTTGTTAATCCTGTTCGCCATTCTTTGAGGATAAGGTATTGATTCTCAAAGCTCCAGTTGGTGCCATCTGCAACCTTCTGTCTGTCCTCCTGACTTTGGAAAATAAATTGGAAATAATTCGGACTCAATTCCTTAATCTCCATCGATTGAGAGAGCCTCCAGATGCTGGACATAGTTCGTTTGATACCAATCCAATTTGCTGCTCTATCCCCAATTATTTTCCCAAAAAGACTCCTGCTGCATTCGTCGGCACTGAGTTTGATATCCGTTGGAGCGATGTCGATGAACTCTGACTCCTTTTCAGAAAGAGAGAACCTATCGAGCTGAGTGGATAAATCCTCTTCCTGGTTCGCCTCCATTTTATCATAAACCTAATTCGAACTATAACCCTGAAGAGAAACTGAATATACCGAATTTAGGAGTGGTAAACTGTCGGAGAGAAGGGGAAATGGTCGGAAAGATATCAGATAAATCGGAAAATCGCTCTTTACACTTGAGATTTCTACTTGATTTAAAAAATCTTAAAAAGTTTCGAACCTCAAAAGTATGAAACTATGACAAGAAATCTCAAATGAATACACCCCAATTTTAAAATTAAGAATATTGGTGGGAAAAGGATGAATGATTGATTGAAGCTTGAGAATGAGTTTACTTTCTAGTACGAGTTTTCTTGGATTGAGATGGGATCAGCTAAAGCAACATACACGGCAGCTTATCGTTTACTCAGACGCTCTTCGAGAAACCTATTTGATCGTCGAGCGGATTCTAAATTCTTCCCACCAATTCGTTCCTCCGCTCCAGGTACTCATGCTTCACCGATAACTGCTCGTATTGATGCCAATTAAATTCAATTTTATGAAGGTTAGAGTTTTTATTTTTATTTTTCTTTAGCTTTTTTATCCAAATACAAAGAAATGAGTGGACGGAAGCCTTCAGATTTTCGGAGTAGACAAGACGAGCATTTCCTTACGATTTCTATAGCGAGCGTAATGGTTTTGTTATGTTCTTTTCTAAATTTAAGTTTTGCTCCGTCATTTATGAAGAGTGAAATGTTTAATCAGATCATTTCCAGCTCAAGATTGCTTAATAGATACTACCATAGGACACAAAGTTCTATAACTATTGCGGCCTAAACGTTAGGCCGGTCAACCCCTGAACAAAAATATATACTTTTACTATCAAATGCCATACTTTTGTCAATGCTGTGGAAAGAGTGACATTTTTTAATAAAATGAGAAAAAGGTATTAGTAGTATTGAAAAGTTCTTTTGTATTCCCTTGTTTCTTAAGGTCATGGTTACTATAGGAAAATACTAACAGGAAGCTAATGATGTAGAGTGAGAATGAATATTGGTTTAGGTGTACCTGCAGATCTTATCAGATTATTACTTGCATCTGGATGACAGAAGGCACTAATTACACCATTTTTAGTTTGTATATATGATAGTAGATATAGATACATTCCCAGAGGGGCTTTTCTTGTGTTTTATTTTAGGTTAATTGGTTGAGCTCTTTGTGCTCTGTGGTATATATGATAGTAGATATAGATACATTCCCAGAGGGGCTTTTCTTGTGTTTTATTTTAGGTTAATTGGTTGAGCTCTTTGTGCTCTGTGGTTTAAGTAAATTGAAACTTGGCTTCACTATGAACTGTAGTTTTGAAAAATCTTTTACCATGACTTATCCTTTTTGCCAATTGCATATTTCTTAATTACAGGTCTCAATGATAACTCTATTCCAACTCGTGAGTTGTCCGAACAGGATGTTTACTATCACAAAACAATTGTTTCAATGCGAAGTAACTCAATAAGAGGTTTTAGAATTGGTATCCCCAATTCCTGCCCAGAAGTTCGTGGTCTTGCTTCTCAATTTAATTACAGAGGTCATGCTTCCATGGCGTCAACACCCGCTCGAAATCAGTCATTTTCCGCGATTAGTTGTGATGATATAAACTACTTTAAGAAGATTTTGGGCGAGAAAGGTGTGGTTCAGGAAGAGGCAAAGCTGGATGATGCAAACACGGATTGGATGCGAAAGTTCAAGGGCTCAAGCAAGCTTATGTTACAACCAAGAAGCACCCAAGAGGTTGATATGTCGTTTTACTCTTCAAGTCTCTATTCTTCACTTACATGTTTGTAATTTTGTATAATATTTTACTGTAGAGTGGGTCCATACGTCCTTACAGAAGCTGAGAGGCGTGATCCTTGTGGCAATGTTAAGGCCTTGATAGCATAAAATAAATCTCGAACCATTTAGCGTATTCAGTATTCTCTGTATGAGCACCGTGTATTGTTTTATGCCTTGCTAAAAAGTGAATACTACCTCCTATTCTTTTTAAATGTCATTTTGGCTTTATCAACCATTAACAAAATAAATGTCGTTTTGGATTTTTTGTACATGTTTTTCCATTATTACCCTCATTTAGCTAATAAATACACTACGTCTTTTCATATTCACTCTTCGTCTTTTCTCAAAACATTCATCTCTATCTTCATTAATGAAGGTTATTATTGGGAAAAAAATATTCTTAATTATTGTGCAACTTCTCAAAACAACACTTATTATGAATAGGAGAGAGTACATTGGTTCTGTTCCACAAAATCTTTGCTTTCGAATCAGGATCTTGTGTTTACATGTTATAAACTTATAGGAAGTTGAAATAAATACCTTTTTTCTAAAAACATAAAGAAATAAATTTTGTTAAGTTATGGCATATGTTGTTAGGACATTTATCAGATTAGTAAGATGTTTCTTCTTCCTCTTTGGTTTCTTCTTGCTTCCTTGATAGTGGAGAAGTTGGGTTATCTCTGTTTTGGACTCTCAGTTGCGGCTGTAATTGTTGCTTTTCTTTTGTTTTGTTTTTTAGGTTTCTCAGATACTTACTTACTGTAATTCCAGATGCCTGGCTGTTGTACCACAAGGTGGAAATACAGGTCTTGTTGGAGGGAGTGTCCCTGTGTTTGATGAGGTAAGATCATATCTATTATTCATTCGATAAGAAATAATCTGATGATTGGACATTATATTTCTTCATTTGATAACCTTAGCCAGTATGATTTCCTTGAGGTTCAACTTCACTCTTCATAAATCTATTGCATACTGGTGTTGACAGTTGTTTTGCTTGTTGCAAATAGTGAACACACTGTTATAAAACAATACATAGAATTGCATGTCAACATAAATTGAATGAATCCCTGCCGAATCTCTATAAGGTTATTAGAAAATATTTGGTAGAAATCATGGTTCCCCTCATGTATTAATTCATCATTTATTCACCTTTCTCTATATCTATCTCTCTTCAGGTGATTATCAACTTAAGCTTTATGAATGAAATCATATCCTTCGACAAGGTAATGGTTCACAACTAAGGGCATCTGTTTTATTCTTTATTCTTTATGTTGCTGCTCACAAGATCGTCTGATACTATATAACAAGATTTTTTGAGGCTGCTGAGTCTGATTACTTCTGATGATCTAAGATTCTCTTCATTTCCTATGAATTTCCTGTTTTTGATTGTTTCATCCATAGCCTTTTCCATCTTTATTTGCTTGGGATATTCATATCAATAGCTGTCCTATTTCAAATACGAGTTCGTGAAAAACTCTCATATTGTATATTAACATTTTTTAATCATTAACATGTGCTTGATATTCTAACACTGTTATCTTTATTAATAGGCTAGTGGTATACTGGTATGCGGAGCCGGATGCATTCTGGAAAACTTGATTTCTTTTCTTGATAATGAAGGGTAACCAATTTAAATTTTTAATCATTTACAAAATTCATAGTTATATTATACAGATTCATTTTAGACTCAAGCTTTATTCCATTAAAGCCTCTACTTCATAATATTAATAAGACATGCTTCAGATACTGTCTGTCCCTAGAAATTATAAGCAAGATATCTCTGGTTAACATTAGTTAACTCTACTCTCATGCATTATGCAGTTCTTCATAGTTTAGGCTTTGGATAGCTCGGAGGTTGATAATTTCTTTGCTCTAGTTCAGATCCAATTTTCGTAGTGTGAAACTTGAGTGCCGTCAATTTTATAGATATCCAGAAAGGAAATTAGAGTATCTAATTATGAAATGTTCATATATTATTCCCATATCTCAAGCATAAATTATATTTGTCGCATGTTTATAGCTGGCCATTTATCTATCTGTCTGTTTATATTTCTCTTGTTATATGTCTTTGATAGCTCCTAGTTTTCATTCTAAAGCTAATTTCTCGTACTTTCTCCTAATCTAGTTTCCTTGACATGTTTTCTTCACCAGATTTGTCATGCCTCTGGATTTAGGTGCTAAAGGAAGCTGTCAAATTGGGGGCAATGTCTCAACTAATGCTGGGGGCTTACGCCTTATCCGTTACGGTTCACTTCATGGAAGTGTTCTTGGTGAGAGATTCTATTTCATCCTACTTTACACTTTTCATCCATCCCATCTACCATAGTTGTACTGAGAGTTATCAGTTTGTGTATCACTTCTATTACTCTGTTTTAACTTTTACTATGATCTGTTTTCAAGGAATTTATCTTCCTCGTTACCCCATAAAATACAGAATCATTCACCTAATGAGGATAACCAAATTGATTAATCCAATAAGTTAACTGCTTTTAAAATAGTAGCCACAATACTCTGTTTAACTTTCAAGAATACTGCTCAATGTAATCTCTTTAAACTTGAAAGAAACCATCCACTACGTACATGACAAGGAAGCCCAAAATACCAAAAAACTACTTAAGAGAACTTGTGAAAATTCGATCCAGAAACTGCTAAATGTAGAAGTATTGTTTGACTTAAAAAGCAGACTCACAAAATCAATTATATCTTGCTAGGTTTTCAGTGGGAACATGAGTAAGGAAGTTAAGATTTTCAAGTATTTGATAGTGAAAACTCATTTATTGGTGGGTCTTCCTAGTTGAGCTTGATTAAACAGAACTTTATGGGTCTACTCAATCTTCTGTTTGTAATTTCCTAAGGGAATATGTTATAACCTTTTAGCTTCCTAAGGAAACCATTGATCTAACCTTCAAGATAAGAATATTTGCTGCGTGTTTATTTCATTAAAATCTCCTGCTAGGATGGATTAAACAAGGGAACATATGTCTATAGAGGAGAACTACTTTAAGAATGTTCAGGTACCTTTGAGTATGGTTCATAACTTTATAGTAGGCTTTTAGAGCCATCTTATAATATGCTCGATCATAATATCCTTTTGGCATGTGTATGTTGTTTTTATTTTGTCTAGTATTTTAATTTTTGATGGCATATGGATTTAATTTCTATAATTATTTTCCCAGTTGACTCCACTTTTATCTGTCATTTCAGGTCTTGAAGTTGTTTTAGCAAATGGTAATGTGCTTGATATTCTTGGGACCTTACGCAAAGACAACACAGGATATGACTTGAAGCATTTGTTTATTGGTGAATGACATCTTTGATCTTGTCTATTTTAACATTTTCAAAAATCTTGACGAAACTCTGACCATTATCTATATGCGATGTAGGGAGTGAGGGGTCTTTGGGAATTGTAACAAAGGTTTCCATACTCACCCCTCCTAAATTGCCTTCAATAAATCTAGCTTTCCTTGCTTGTGAAGATTATACCAGCTGTCAGGTAAAGTTTGAGTGTACAAAATTAACTGTATAATCCATATCATTACTATTTAAAGCTCACATGAAAATGCTAGCACTTCTGTTTCTCCACTGCTTGGTAATTCCTCAGTGTCCAGCTCATCCATATCTGGATGTTTGTGCATTAGAGTTGAACCTTTATGATATCATTTATTCTTTACTGACTTCATTATTTTCCAACTTACGAACTTAATAATTTTATCTTAATTCTCCATGCTATGGACAGTTACCAAAATATCTTAAAAGTTTCTAATCTGGTTTTCCCAGAAGCTCCTGTCCGAAGCCAAAAGGAAGCTTGGAGAAATTCTTTCTGCATTTGAATTTTTGGACATCAATGCTATGGATCTGGTGAGAATCCCTCTAGCGCACACTAATACTTTGATAAGATATCTGAATCTGCCACAATTGCTTCTGGTAACTTATTCCACACACATTGTTCACAGTTACCAACAATGCACACAATAAATGACCAGTTTATCCCCTTATGTACTCGGTAAGTAAAATATAACTGCTTGTTAATTGGTCTGATAACTGAAAAGGGTGCATGTATAGCTCGTTATCTGAAAGTGCCGAGCCAAATATAGCTTTCATTTCCCTCGTCTGTATCTGATAAAAGGGTTAAATGTGTGATGCTTATTGCCTAATCCCTAGTATTCTCTAATTAATCATTTTGCTCATTGCGAATAGAATATAGGTTCAATATGTTCTGTGCAAAAATTTGAGGGTACTTCCCTCTGTGAAACTATTGTATCCACTTGTGTTTTGATAATTTTGATTGTTTAGGAGAAAACAATCCTGGATTAGTAGACTGAATTTTGTTAAAAAATCCTTCTATCTTTTCTTAATAAAAGCTTTGAAAGCATATCGACAGATGGAATTGAAATAGAAAAATCTTGTATTTGGTCAAATATGGTTGCACATTGGATTTTCTAAACTGATGATAGCATAAGAATGGTAAATCATGAGATGATATACCTTCATTCAAGTGGCCCTGGAATGTGATGTTCTGTTGGACAAATGTTAGTTCTATAATATGATTTTCTTACGGTGTTAGCCTTTTTTCTGACAGGTTTTGAAGCATTTAGACGGCCTACGTGATCCATTGCCCTCCTCGAGGCATAACTTCTACGTTCTGATTGAGACCACAGGCAGCATGGAATCTCATGACAAGTAACCTTCTTTGTGTTTGCTATTAATCATCGTTTATGTTTTTAAATATTTGATGATTTATCTTGTGCATTCTTTTGCAATTTTTGCAATCACGGAAAGAGTTGGATTTGCCGATTTGTTCTGATTTGAGTCATGGATATATATTGTTTGGACCAAAATCATTGGTGTTGAGAGTTGTAAATAGTTAAAGGATAGAAATGTTGCTAGATGATTCACGGTATGTACAGTTTGTCTCGGCCAACCTCACTTTTCTTATGCCAGCAGATGGCTTTTTCCCACCTTTTCTTCCCTTCATCTGCCTTCTTAAAATTTTGATGGCCCACGATAACAATCAACGTAATTATAATAGAATAGCCAATTATTATTATTAATTATATTTATTGGTGGTCCTCAATTCGGTGATAATGATTCCATTCACGATGGCGCACCAAATAGCATATAAGAATGCTAACTTTACTTTGTTATTGATGATAAATTTTTTCTCAATATCCCCACCATCTGTTCCTGAACGACTAGGGAGAAGCTCGAGTCATTCCTTCTTCAGTGTATGGAAAGTGGATTGTTGAAGGATGGAGTTATAGCACAAGATGTAAATCAAGCATCGTCATTTTGGCGAATACGCGAGGTATTTATCGAGTTAGTCTTCATCTGTGTAGACTGAATATAGTTACCGTAAGGACTTTTTTAAATATGCAGACTGCACAGTAATAGTCCTTTCCATTTCTGACATCTATCATTTTTCTTCTGAATATTTTGATAAAGCATTTTTGTATATTTTTGTTAATATCTACACATTTGTCATGGTCAAGCTAACTATTGAGTTGATTGTTTTTAGTTTGTCCATACAAAGGGTCATAAGAGTACTTCAATGTACAGCTTTTAATTAATTCCACTGAATACTACTACTGATGAATCCTAAACAATTATGCTTTAGTCTTGGAGCCCAGTCACTTAATTTTTCCACCAACAAATATATATCTGGGAAGACCATACTTGTGATGTTAACTAATTATACATTTGAGTTACGCTTCAATTAATGCTCGGTTTTATGCATGTAGGGAATATCTGAAGCTTTACTGAAAGCAGGTGCTGTATATAAATATGACTTGTCTCTGCCTCCAGAAAAGATGTATGATCTTGTTGAGGAAATACGTGGGCAACTTGGTAACTTAACATTTACTTAAACATAAATAGCTATGCTCTGTGGGACATTAGAATAATCACCTTACATCATGAAATATTAAGCCTGTCAAAACATTTTCATGCATCTAAGCAGAGTGAAAATATATGTTCTTTCTGAGGTGGTCTTTTGGACAAAGTATAATCCTCGTTCATTTTGTTTATTACAGGTAATGAAGCAAATGTAGTGGCTTATGGTCACCTTGGAGATGGCAACTTGCATCTCAATATTTCAGCTCAACAATACGATGACAATGTAACAACAGTAGTTTTTTCATCTTTGTTTTTTGAGATTTCTGTCTAAAAAATTTGAAACTGATTCTGGACCGAAAATATTTATTCCAGTTATTATCGAAAATCGAACCATTTGTGTACGAGTGGACATCTAAGCAGAGGGGGAGCATTAGTGCCGAACATGGTCTTGGACTGGTGAAAGCGGATAAAATTCATTACAGTAAGTCTGCTGAAACGGTAAGTAAATTTGTCCGTACACTTGTTATAGACGAAAATGGTTATATTGATCATATTTTTATAGTTATATTGGTTGACAGTGGTTTAAATGAACTTTTCGTCTGCAGGTGCAAGTAATGGCTGCCATAAAGAAGCTACTCGATCCTAACGGCATACTCAACCCGTACAAAGTTCTTCCAGGTTCAATATTATCACAAAGTTGAGGTTATCACACAAAAGAAGCTTGATTCGTGTGGCACAATTGACGACCTGAATATGGCAAGTCATATCTGAACTGACTAATAGTCCATTCATTTCCTGGTCTGTTGCGAGGCCATTTGTTGTTGTATACAGTTTTCTATTAACTTGAAGTCTTCTCCTAAAATAAGAGACACAATCACAAGCAGAAATAAAAGCACATAAGTTCCATTGCTTCACACATCAAAACCTTAAAAGAATACTAGTAGAGTACAACAGTGTGTTACACGAGTGCTAATAAAAAAATTATACACTTATATTGATTGAGA